CCGCACGTTGAATGACAGTTTAATTATACTGTATGTGACACAAACTCACTCTCTCACTCTCTCACTCACTCACTCACTCTCTCTCTCTCTCTCTCTCTCTCTCTCTCTCTCTCTCTCAGAACGACCACTCAGGTACTATATGAACAATGCACAGCAGTAATAGTAATTAGTACACCATTAATTAGTAAACTGTTAATTAGTACACTATAATAATATCATTATTTACTACAAGTACAAGGTATACAGGCCATAGCTGACATCAATAACATACTACTATATAGAAAGCCGCTTGTTATGCTGAGTATTTCGGGCAAATTAGGTTAATTTGGTCCCAGGATGCGACCCACACCAGTCCACTAACACCCAGGATGCGACCCACACCAGTCCACTAACACCCAGGATGCGACCCACACCAGTCCACTAACACCCAGGATGCGACCCACACCAGTCCACTAACACCCAGGATTCGACCCACACCAGTCCACTAACACCCAGGATGCGACCCACACCAGTCCACTAACACCCAGGATGCGACCCACACCAGTCCACTAACACCCAGGATGCTACCCACACCAGTCCACTAACACCCAGGATGCGACCCACACCAGTCCACTAACACCCAGGATGCGACCCACACCAGTCCACTAACACCCAGGATGCTACCCACACCAGTCCACTAACACCCAGGATGCGACCCACACCAGTCCACTAACACTCAGGTACCCATTATTACTGATGGATGGACAGAGACAGCAGGTGTCTTATGGAAACACGTCGCTAATGTTTTCCAGCCGTACAGGAGGAGATTCGAACCCCGGACCTCAGTGTGTGAGGTGAGTGCGCTAGCCATCGAACTACGGGACACTACATAGTAATAGCGGTATTGGCTGAAGGGGTGCTAAACCCGTAGGGTTTAAAAAAGTGAAGAACAAAAGGGCACAATACCGTGACTGAAACAATACATAAATAACCCGCACATAGGAGAGGAGCTTACCACGACGTTTCGGTCCGACTTGTGACTATTTACAAAGTCACAATGTGACTCGTGAAGACCAAATCCGACCGATACTAAGGCAGTGACATCCGATGTTCACTGTTGGATATCACAATGGGTTTTCACGAGAATTTGATTGACGGGAACAAAACAACGATTGTGGTAAGACAGTCAAGAGTCTTAGAAAGCAATTTAAAAATGCTAGACTTGTTTTGTTTACATTGTCCCAGAACACTCAAAATCTCTGATGTTTTTGAAGGTTGAGAGAGAGAGAGAGAGAGAGAGAGAGAGAGAGAGAACAGGAAGAAGACCAGAGGAGAAAGATGTGAATAAAAATGGAACCGATTTAAGACTCTATACTCTTTACATTACTTTGAAATTACGCAACGTAACTTGCGTAAGGAAGAGGAAGAAACTGAAGGAAGAGACGACAATGAGGAGGAAAAGGAGGTAGAGGAAGGGGGAATAAAGAGTGGAAGGCAGAAATAAGAGGATCCTCTTACTTCTTTGACAAGAGGATGGTGAAGAATAATCCTCTTTCCTTATACTCTTTTTTTGGGGCTGGGGGGGGGGATGTCCAAAAATAATATCAGTGAAATTATTACTCTCTCTCTCTCTCTCTCTCTATCTATCTCTCAAGGTTTTGAAAGGACATGAAAAATTATATATCGTAGTATCTACAGAGATAAGACACACAGTAGATAAAGATATCTTCGTAGCTGCAACAGAGATAACAAGAGCCACACAGAGTAGATAAAGATATCTTAGCTCTAACAGTGATAACAAAACACAAAGTAGACAAAGAATAACAAAAGAATAACACAGGGAAAGCTGAACAAAGTCTCGTTCCATTCTTAAGAACGTAAGTGCGACCCATTCACGAGTCTGCAGCGCCAGTGTACAACCCTCTCGTCCAGTTGAAAAGAAATAAACTCGAGAGACCGGAAAGGAAAATCTATAAAAAAACCGATGCCTGGGCTGAGCGAAACGAGTCAAAAAGGTGAAAAAAAAGTGAGAAATAGGCCTTGTATTTCTGGAGAGACGAGGTAATAAAGGGAATAGCCAAGAATGTACAGAATACTGTAATGAATAGACTACAGACCGAGGGACCGATTACCTCAAATTCATCCTCTTCCACCATTCTTCTCTATATTGGACTGAAGAACCAACTGGCTGGTGAAACGTTTCTCTAAGATTCCCAGATATTGTATGTCCTATTCTTCAACTTGTTAGGGATCCTAAACTATTTATCTGACATAAATAAAGCAACAAGTGACTAGATCGTCGCCAGATATACAAGAAGAAGGTAACGTGGGTGGAGATTGCACGTGCAACTGGTCCAGTTTAGGAGTTGCAAATGAGTTGAGGTGACCAATGTCTCCCTGGATTCTGGGATGACAGAGATTAGTCATGTCAGAAGATATGAAGGCCACGATATTACCCTCTGTTGATCTTTGATTACAAGTTGAAAATTTAGACATTTTACAACATATTGGGTTACATGTTTCTGACTTGATAAAGGCCACTGTGTGGGCGAAACGTTGTCAATAAAGGATCCCATTATACTGGATTTGTGTTTATTTTTCCATCGTGTCGGTATTTTATACCATTTACTCCACCTTAGGTATCTTCATTGTGGCAACATTTCGCCAAGTGGCTTCGTCAGTCCGGTACAGAAATGAATAGTGAAAAATGAGGAATTTGAGTTAATCAGTCCCTCTGCCTTGAGGGACTAATTAGTGTCTAATTTTTCGGGCCGCGGGGGCGTTGATCCCCGGAATAACCTCCAGGTAACCTCCAGGTAGCTCCTGCAGTTTTACGCAGGCGATGAAATATCTAGGCAAACTAAACGTTTCGTGTAGAAGAAGAGCATTACTAGGGGTTCGAGCAGTGGAAAGGATCCTTGATTATGCTTGTGTTGGTAGTCATGATGTGCGCGGTTTCAAAGCATTTCTGTTTGATGTCACTTTCGTTAATGAGTTGTTTAGAATCAAGAGAATTTAATCACACGGTCGTGTGAGCTCTGAGCTCTTTAACAAATGACTGAGAGCTGTGCTCTTCACCAAATGAGTGAGTTCCTGTCATCTCACCAGATAGTAATGTGAGCTCCTATGCTTCTCATCAGATAGTAATGTGAGCACCTGTGCTTCTCATCAGATAGTAATGTGAGCACCTGTGCTTCTCATCAGAAGTATAATGTGAGCACCTGTGCTTCTCATCAGATAGTAATGTGAGCTCCTATGCTTCTCATCAGATAGTAATGTGAGCACCTGGGCTTCTCATCAGATAGTAATGTGAGCACCTGTGCTTCTCATCAGATAGTAATGTGAGCACCTGTGCTTCTCATCAGATAGTAATGTGAGCACCTGTGCTTCTCATCAGATAGTAATGTGAGCACCTGTGCTTCTCACCAGATAGTAATGTGAGCACCTGTGCTTCTCACCAGATAGTAATGTGAGCTCCTATGCTTATCACCAGATAGTATGAGCTCCTGTGCTTGTCATCAGATAGTATGAGCACCTGTGCTTCTCACCAGATAGCATGAGCACCTGTGCTTCTCACCAGATAGCATGAGCACCTGTGCTTCTCACCAGATAGCATGAGCACCTGTGCTTCTCACCAGATAGCATGAGCACCTGTGCTTCTCACCAGATAGCATGAGCACCTGTGCTTCTCACCAGATAGCATGAGCACCTGTGCTTCTCACCAGATAGCATGAGCACCTGTGCTTCTCACCAGATAGCATGAGCACCTGTGCTTCTCACCAGATAGTATCAGCTCCTGTGCTTCTCACCAGTTAGTAATGTGAGCTCCTGTGCTTCTCAGCAGACAGTGTGAGCAGCTGTGCTTCTCATCAGATAGTGTGAGCTCCTGTGCTTCTCAGCAGACAGTGTGAGCAGCTGTGCTTCTCATCAGATAGTGTGAGCCCCTGTGTTTCTCATCAGATAGTGTGAGCTCCTGTGCTTCTCATCAGATAGTGTGAGCCCCTGTGCTTCTCAGCAGATAGTGTGAGCCCATGTGCTTCTCAGCAGATAGTGTGAGCTCCAGTGCTTCTCATCAGAAAGTGTGAGCTCCTGTGCTTCTCAGCAGATAGTGTGAGCCCCTGTGCTTCTCAGCAGATAGTGTGAGCCCCTGTGCTTCTCAGCAGATAGTGTGAGCTCCTGTGCTTCTCAGCAGATAGTGTGAGCCCCTGTGCTTCTCATCAGATAGTGTGAGCTCCTGTGCTTCTCATCAGATAGTGTGAGCCCCTGTGCTTCTCATCAGATAGTGTGAGCCCCTGTGCTTCTCATCAGATAGTGTGAGCTCCTCTGCTTGTCATCAGATAGTGTGAGCTCCAGTGCTTGTCATCAGATAGTGTGAGCTCCTGTGCTTTTCATCAGATAGTGTGAGCCCCTGTCCTTGTCACCAGATAGTGTGAGCCCCTGTGCTTCTCATCAGATAGTGTGACCTCCTGTGCTTCTCATCAGATACTGTGAGCTCCTGTGCTTATCAGATAGTGTGAGCCCCTGTGCTTGTCACCAGATAGTGTGAGCCCCTGTGCTTGTCACCAGATAGTGTGAGCCCCTGTACTTGTCACCAGATAGTGTGAGCCCCTGTGCTACACACCAGTTATGTGAACTACTGTAGTGGTCGGAGGCTTCGTTCTACTCAGTATGGGTGGCGTATTAACAATTACCAATACATAAGAAGGGAAGAGCACTGCAGAAGGCCTACTGGCCCATACAAGGCAGAATTAAAAAAAAATTACCTCTCCTCTCTTACATTTCAGAATATTTAACAACTAACTTTGCTAAATTATGAATATAATCGTCAAAAATCAGTAATATTCCATACCGAAGTGCTGCTGGATTCCATCTTTATCATATATATACACACACACACATATTCATACATAGATACTTGAAGTTAATTACTACTCTCTTAATTTCAGCGTCGTCTGAACGTGGAGGAGTTTGACGTGTCTCCAGACAAGAGATACATCTTACTGAAGCATGATGTCTTTCAGGTGAGTCCTGGCGCTTTCTCTCTCTCTCTCTCTCTCTCTCTCTCGTCGTTCCCATGTCAACATTTATAAAAAAAAAAACGTAAACAAGAATATTCAGTGTTTCAATAATAACAATAATAATAATTATTATATTTCATTTCTAAACACACAAAAATCAATATAAGTATTCATCTCTTTCATTCTCAAACATTAAATTCCTCCAAAAATACAACAAAATTTGTATGCATTCTCCTTTAATATATACATATATATATATATATATATATATATATATATATATATATAATATATATATATATATATATATATATATATATATATATATATATATATAATTTGCTACATGTGTAAACTATTGTATTTAATGTATTTTAAACAGAAAAACACTGCTGTACTCTGTTTTATAATGTATTAGTGAACTTATGTACTGTAGCATACAATTCACAATACAATGGCTGGAACAATTCACAAAATGCCTCACAGTCTCGAGTTGAAACTATAGAACACGTCACGATCCTGTGACCTTCATCAAGTCACATGTCGACCCAATAATGGTCCACAGGAGAGCGAAATGTCTTGAAATTACAGCATTTCAGGTTATTTCAGGCGAATTTTGAAAACTTCAGTACACCACTTAGGAAATTTTGCACGAGGCCGCCACTTTCCTCTGTCACTTAGTTCTCTCCAGGACTCTTTTTCTCAGGTTGAAATCCATCAGCCACTTTTTTATGCTTCATTTGTTTAATCTGTTGAAGTCTTTTTAAATCCTCCTGTCAGGGATCCGTTTATTCCAGAAATGATAGTAGTAGTAGTAGTAGTAGTAATAGTAGTAGTAGTAGTAGTAGTAATAGTAGTAGTAGTAGTAGTAATAGTAGTAGTAGTAGTAGTAGTAATAGTAATAGTAGTAGTAATAGTAGTAGTAGTAGTAATAGTAACAGTAGTAGTAATAGTAGTAGTAATAGTAGTAATAGTAATAGTAGTATAGTAGTATTAGTAGTAGTAGTATTAGTAATAGTCGTAGTAGTAATAGTAGTAGTGTTGGTGGTAGTAGTGGTGGCGGTGGTAGTAGTGGTAATAGTAGCAGTGGCAGTAGTAACAGTAATAATGGTAATAGTAATAGTAGTAGTAACAGTGGTAATAGTAGTAGTAATAGTAGTAGTGGTAATAGTAGTAACAGTAGTAATAGTAGTAGTAGTAGTAATAGTAGTAGAAATAGTACTAGAAATAGCCGTAGTAGTAATAGTAGTAGTGGTAATAGTAGTAATAATAGTAATAGTAGTAATAACAGTAATAATAGTAATAGTCATAATAGCAGTAATAATAGTACTACTACTAATAATAATATACACAATTTTTTTTCACTTTTTTGAGATTTTCAAAATTTTTAGAAAATTACTTTTTTCTCCTAAAATTAATTAGATTTTTGAAAACCACACTAATTTAGGGTAAAAATTATTTATATAGATTTTATTATTATTTTCATATTTAATATAAAATAACCGGTGATAGTAAATTATTTATCAGCCGTTTTAAATACTTACAAGGCAGTCCTGCCAGAGTGCAAAACGTTTACCAGGCTTCCGTTTCCTACTCATATGACTAGACGGTAATGTCTCCTCCTTGGAAGTCTCGAAACTGTGTTTCCTCGGGTCTAGCTTCTCTTCTTTTTTATTATCTTGACCTGTCACGGTTCTTTCATTTCGAAGACAAATTAGTTAATATCGCTTCTAGCTCGCTCACTCTCCCCTCTTTACCTCTTCTGCCTCTTCTTTCTTCCCCTTCTTTCTTCCCCTCAACAATCTCACTTTTTCACCTCCTTCAGTGCCCAGCTTCCTCTCCCTTTTGTTAATCTCTCTCCTTATGCCTACGTAAGAAGTGATGCCACAATACTGTATCTGGAATAATTTACCAGTCATTATACAGTGACTGGAACAATTCACAGGCCACACTACCAAGGCTGGAACAATTCACAGGCCACACTACCAAGGCTGGAACAATTCACAGGCCACACTACCAAGGCTGGAACAATTCACAGGCAACACTACCAAGGTTGGAACAATTCACAGGTCACACGACCAAGGCTGGAACAATAGGCCACACTACCAAGGCTGGAACAATTCACAGGCAACACTACCAAGGCTGGAACAATTCACAGGCCACACTACCAAGGTTGGAACAATTCACAGGTCACACGACCAAGGTTGGAACAATTCACAGGCCACACTACCAAGGTTGGAACAATTCACAGGCCACACTACCAATACTGGAACAATTCACAAATAACCCACACTTAGAGAAAAAACTTTAAACGTATCGATCCTCACAGAATCATTGATAATGGTCCAGGATGGACCGAAACATCGCTTGAACTTTTCCCTCAAAGCTGTGAACCCCTGCCACCATTTTCTTCACGTCAATTTGACGCACTAAATCACTGTGGAAGCGCATAATGCTGAATATTTTACGCAGCCTTTACTGCGGTGCATGACACACGCATTTTTTTTGTATTCCCTGAAGAGATAAATCTGTGTGGATGATTCAGCTTAACGTGTTTGGTGGCTCGATCCTCCTTCCGCTAATCGCGGCCCGTTATCCGTCCAGTCAGGCTCTTGATCTCAATTGTAGGCAAATTACTGGAGTCAATTATAGCTGAGATTATAAGAAGCCATCTCGATAAGCATAGCTTGATTAATGATACTCAGCATGGATTCACAAGAGGCCGGTCTTGTCTAACTAATTTATTAACTTTCTTCAGTAAAGCTTTTAAGGCTGTTGACCACGATAAAGAATTTGATATTATTTACTTAGATTTTAGTAAGGCTTTTGATAGAGTCCCGCACCATAGACTGTTAAAGTGGCAGCTCATGGCATTGGGGGAAAAGTGCTCTCGTGGATCGAGTCATGGCTCACTGACAGGAAGCAGAGAGTGTTCATAAATGGGGTTAAATCCGAGTGGGGATCTGTAACAAGTGGCGTTCCACAGGGATCAGTCTTGGGCCCGTTGTTGTTTATAATATATATCAATGATCTTGATGAGGGAATTACTAGTGATATGAGCAAATTCGCCGATGACACAAAGATAGGTAGGATAATTGATTCAAACGTAGATGTTATGGAACTTCAGGAGGATTTAAACAAGCTCTATTCTTGGACAGAAAAGTGGCAGATGCAGTTCAAAGTAGATAAATGCAAGGTTCTGAAGCTTGGGAGCGCCCATAACCCTAGTACTTATAAGTTAAATGATGTAGAACTTAGCCATACAGATTGCGAAAAGGACTTGGGGGTTATGGTGAGCAGCAACCTTAAACCAAGACAGCAATGCCTAAGCGTACGTAATAAGGTAAATAGATTACTGGAATTTATATCAAGAAGTGTAAGCAACAGAAGTCCAGAGGTCATACTGCAGCTTTATACATCATTAGTAAGGCCTCACCTAGATTATGCAGCTCAATTCTGGTCTCCGTATTACAGAATGGACATAAATTCGTTAGAAAACATTCAGCGTAGGATGACTAAAATAATACATAGCATTAGAAATCTTCCTTATGAAGAATGATTGAAGACTCTTAAGTTACATTCACTTGTTAGACGAAGAATGAGGGGAGACCTGATAGAAGTGTATAAGTGGAAGATAGGTATTAATAAAGGGGATTTGTAGATGAATGGTTCAGAGAACCGACATGTTGATAAATTAGACACATGTGCAACTCTTGGGTATCTTTATTGAGGAAACGTTTCGCCACACAGTGGCTTCATCAGTCCATACGTATTGAACATTAAAATGGTATAAAATACCGACAGGTTGTTAGGTAAGACACATATGCAACAGTTAGGTATCTTTATTGTGAAACGTTTCGCCTACACAGTAGGCTTCTTCAGTCAAGTACAGAAAAGTTGATAGAAGCAGAAGATACTTGAAGACGATGTAATCAGTCCATCACCCTTAAAGTTTTGAGGTGGTCAGTCCCTCAGTCTGGAGAAGAGCATTGTTCCATAGTATGAAACAATATTGTTTCATAGTATGAAACAATATTGTTTCATACTATGGTTCAGAGAACATGTCGGTTCTCTGAACCATTCATCTACAAACCTGTCAGACACTGCAACTTCTTGGGATCTTAATACTTAGGAATTCTTCGCTTGCCTAATTCTTGGGCACGACCTACTTCCACATTGAACATATGTGACACGACCTATGACTGCTGCACCTCTCCTGCCATACGGTTTATAAGCTGCTTCTCCGCTGATATGCCGTATTCTATTCAAGATTGATGGACTGAACACATCGACTCAAGGTTGAGGGACTGATTACCTCATTCTCCTCCTGTTCTTCAAGTTTCTCCTACGTATGGACTGATGAAGCCACTGTGTGGCGAAACGTTTCCTCAATAAAGATACCCAAGAGTTGCACATGTGTCTAATTTATCAATAAAGGGGATATTAATAAGGTCTTGAGGATGTCTCTCCAAGAGAGAACCCGCAGTAATGGATTTAAATTAGATAAGTTTAGATTTAGAAAGGACATAGGAAAGTATTGGTTTGGAAATAGGGTAGTTGATGAGTGGAACAGTCTACCTAGTTGGGTTATTGAGGCTAGGACTTTGGGTTGTTTCAAATTTAGGTTGGATAAGTACATGAGTGGGAGGGGTTGGATTTGAGTGGGACTTTCACATCAGAGCTTATTTCTTGGGTGGCATTGAAAATTGGGTTGGGCAAATGTTTTGTTAGTGGGATGAATTGTAAAGGACCTGCCTAGTATGGGCCAACAGGCCTCCTGCAGTGTTCCTCCTTTCTTAAGTTCTTATGCTTTGTAGATAAGATTAGATTTCGAGAATTTGACGCCGAAATGGCTAGTTTATTATGCACTTCATATCTATCCTGTGGATAGCAGTGGTTGATTTATTGAGTAGCCATATCCATCCTGTGGACGGTAGTGGATAGTTTATATTCCACCCCATATCTATCCTGTGGATGGTAATGGCTAGTTTTGACTGGAAAGG